CCCCCCCCNCCCCCCCCCCCAAAACCCCACACGTAACTGACACGCAACGAATGCTTAGCTTTTCATGTCCGATGCCGACTGCAAGTTCAGCAAGACCATCGGTTGGACCCAGGGTGACCGCACCAAGCGCTATGCTATTGTCATCGACCACGGCAAGGTTACCTACGCCGAGTTGGATGAGGTGCCTAAGAGCATCGCCAACACTGGTGCCGAGGGTGTCCTGGCTAAGCTCTAAATAGAGAAAAGGGGGGTTGGAAAAGCCAAGGCAAAGAAACAAAACAAAGGCAAACAGTAATCATCAACACCGGCAAAACTCATATACTGTGGTTGCGAGCAAAAGTAAAAACCACCCTGCCAGGCACAGCACTTTTTTGCACAGACAATGTGTTCAATACCTGCTTCACCTAATTAGACTCTTACCCACCACACCAAGTAGAGAAGTAATGGGAACCAAAACAAATGTCAAGGGGAACGCGATGATAGTCGCGGGATACTCTTGTTGTGACTGGGTATTTGCTTGATAGAGTATCACGAGGTACAGAGAATAGAAGCCGCGTGATATGCCTTTTGCCCGCTGAAGCGCAGCGTTATATTATGATTGCCAGATCCCTGTTCCTTCGTCCCAACGGCCCCAAAACTTTCTCTCGCCTCCCTAGTATCACAGGGAGGTGGGATATGGATTTTGTTCGTCTTTGACCAATGCATAAGTCGGCATTCTGTTAAGCTACCCATGCAAAGCGTTTGATGTCATATCCGTTAGACGCAGGGATCCATGCAACCGGCCCTTCCAGAAACCAAGCTGTTGTATTGTTTTCGTTAAACGAGACGAAAACCCTCCAGCTGAGTGCAGGCAAAAAAAAAGAACCGAGAACCGACCAGACCGACTCCGCGTATCCCTTCCAGCTTGCCACGCAGGACCGTAAAGACATTCCATTCTCCCTTCACATCATCGTGCCCCCCGACCGACAAGACCGCATTTAACGGGACTTGGCAGCGACCTTGACGGGCGCACCCTTGGCACCCTGCTTCGAGGTGACACGGGCCTTGGGGTTGGCAGCGTTCTTGGCCTTCTCAGCCTTCTTGGCGGCCTGAGTCTCCTGCTTCTTGGCCTTGGACTCCTTGATGGCGGCGAGACGAGCGGCGGAGCGGGCCTCAGGGCGCATGGAGCGGCGCTCCTTGATCACCTCGAGGGAGGCACCGACGATGGCACGCTGGGCCTTGACGGTACGGCGGGAGCGCTTCTTGGCGACCTCCTGTAATGGGTGTCAGTCATCTGCTTCGCGCAACGGTTTCCCCCCCATCGATCCCCTTCACCCAGTTGCGCGCGCGTCCAAAGTATCCGTATTCGCGATATCCCTCTCCGTCAAAATCTCGAAGTCTTCGATATTGCTTCGGCAGAATCGGTAGAATAGGGGGCTGGTGACGGTGTGCGCAACGGGGGAAGAAGAATGGGCCCGAGTGCGGATATGTGGTTTCTTGCGTACCTCAGAGATACCCTTCTTGTGCTGGCGGCGGTAGAGGACAGTCCAGGCAATGCGGCGGGGGTTCTTGCGCTGGAGGAAAAGCGACTCGGACTTGCCGTTCTGGAAACGGAAGATCTTGCTGTCGCCACGGACGTACAGCTTACCCTAACGGTGTCAAAGAAAACATGTCAGCACTTTTATCACGGTGGCTGCATTTCCCTCCTCTTGTTGTTCTGGCTGGTCCTTCATGATCCCCCTCAATCAGAATATCGTCGACGTCGCGGGGACGAGATCCGTCAATATCTCTCGCTCGCTCTCGAAAAGTCGTTCCCTCCCCAAATCCAAAACCAAGACCAATTCCCCACGGGTTCAGATCCCGGTAGCATTTTCGAGCCGCAAATCATTTTGGACGGGCAAAAAAAACCGTACCTTTCCAGGGTAGATCCTCTGGCCGGAGAAGGTATCGTCGTACGTTCTCATTGTGGCGGTTTGCTGTCGAGATTGTCGGTTGTCGGGAGATGCTTCCTCGAAGGTGCAATGTTCCAGCGTCGATTTTCCTCAATTTCTTTCCGCAGCGAGGTTGTGCGATAGGGCTGCCTTGTGATAGGCTGGCTGCACGGACCATGTGGTCCACTTCAGCGTTGGGGTGGCTCAAGTGGGCTGGCAGCGGGCTGGCAACGCGGGCGGAAACAATCGCCGCCACTTATCTGCCAGGTGGTCCGGGCTGTAGGACGTCATCCTCAAGCAAATTTATAGCCCAATTTACCATCGATAAGTGCGGAACGAACGACGGGCATCTGATTTACTTTTTGGTCGCGAAGCATCACCACTGTAACTTGCATGAACAAGGTACACTCACCTCGGAGTTCCGTCTGAAAACCTGTGTGATTTTTATCTTCTGCGTCTGGTGCATGCGGTTTGCTCCATTGATTTTCCGTACTTCCACGTTACGAACTGGCTGTCAACGGCTAACCCCAACCCTTGTCAAACGACAAGTGCTTCATCACAAGGAGTTTGGACTTTGGAGGCTGTTCCAAGTCGTTCTTTCTAACGCATGCAAACATACGAAAACGTCAAAATTACACCGACCTGAACTTGCAAAGTTATGATGACTGATGCAGACGCAATTGCCTCTGCTGTTCTTGAAGAGTTCAGCAAACTCCCTGCGAAACGGAAGCCCAGTGTCCGCGACAATGGTCTTCACGAATGGGTTCCTATGGCCGGCATTGTAGCCAAAGGTGCTGCTCGTTATATGCCTAGAAGAAAGAAATGCAAACTCCTGACTGATACAATCTCTAGGCCCAAACGGACTGAAATGTGTAGCTTTGGCGTAAGTACGTACAATGGACCGCCGGGACCACTGAAGTGTCCAATGTGCCTTCATGATCACGCAAGATAAGTCTGTTGCTGGAGCTAAGGATGGATTGTTGGTCATAGAACAGGTATGAAGTGCCTTCCGGCATCCAAGCTGCCCCAAACCAACGGAGTGGCCATTCATGACTGGCACGCCGAGATACTTGCTATACGAGCCTTCAACCGGTTCATCCTCGAAGAGTGTAAACGCCTCGCTCTTCAGGGGGATGGTGCCTCGCAATCCGAGTTCATCTACCGAAGGATAACAGCCCAACATGAAAACCAAGGACAGCAAGGAACAGCGGGAGTATGGCAAGGACAACCGTTCGCCTGGAGGGAAGATGTGAGCTTACACATGTACTGCTCCGAAGCGCCTTGTATGTGTCCCCGCTGCCCAAACCCCCCCTTCACCAGAGACGACTCGACCCCGGTAAAGCCCATGACTAACACACCAATCTACCAGGCGGGGACGCAAGCATGGAACTAATCATGGCCGCTCAAGACGACGCCTCGCCCTGGGAAGTCCCATCCCCAACACCAGGAGACCTGCCAACCGAAGCACAAGCACCAACCCCAGCATCAGCAGACGACACCGACACCCCTCTCCCCGGCCGCGCCTACTTCTCTCAACTCGGAATCGTCCGCCGCAAGCCCTCACGCGGCGACGCCCCTCCCAGCTTATCCAAGTCCTGCTCCGACAAACTTGCCCTTAAACAAGTCACCTCGCTTCTGTCCTCTCTCACCAGCGCTTTGGTCTCGCCTGCGAACGCATACCTGTCCAGCGTCATCTTGCCCGCGTCTCAGTATTCTGCCGTGGCTTGTAGTCGGTGTTTCTCTTCTTCATCTGCTGATGGGGGGCGGATGGCACCCTTACTTGACACGAGCGTGAGCGCGAAGCTGGAGGGTGCAGGATATGTCTTTCGGGAGTTTAGGGTTGAGACGACGAAGATGGAGTTTGCATTTTCCAGGAGGGCTATACTCCCTCCAAATAATAATTCCTCCTCAACAGATATGACGGACATGGCAGACGTCAAGGACACAAAGCCAAAGAAGCTCATAGCAAGCAACCTCGCGACATCATGGACGCTCAACGGCCCGCGCGATGGGGAGGGTTTGGTGGGTGGCGTGTTACAGGGCCGGAAGCAGTTTGATCTACGAGGAGCGAGTCTGGTCTCTCGGCGAAAGATGTGGACTTTGGCGAGGGAGGTTTGTTCGATGATGGCGCTCGATGATGATGATGGCGAGATCAAGCGAGTCCTGGGAAGTACGGACATTGTTTATGATGAGATCAAGGATGGAAGTAGCTTGCTTGAGGGGAGACGGAGGGCAAAGGAGGAGACGAAAAGGGTGGCGTTGAAAGGGTGGGTGAGGAATACTGGGGGTGGAAGCTTTAAACTTGAGTAAATTAAAAGAGTGTTGAGGAATGATTCAGAGAAGGATTGCTGGGAGATATGTGGTCACTATACAAAGCGTGAATGAGTGACGTTTCACTTGCGCACTTGAAGGCACAACATGCCTCGTCTCCACATCATCTTTGTCTTGTTGTCATGATATGGGACACAATTCCTGATTCGCACTTCTCCAGTGTTGTTTCGAGAGGCCAAGAAGCTTTTTCTTTTTTCCAGCGCTTGGTCAGTTGTTTTGTTTTGGTTATGTACATCGTTTTGATGTAGCATCGGCGTTGTTCCTATAGCCATCATTTCAACCGCAGTCTTTCTCTGGAAGAGTCCAGGAGCAAAACCGAGATGGACGAAGACAATTAAACACGTCTTTCCGCCTCGTTGCCACATGTACCAAGTAACATCCTTTCTCTTGGAGCTGAAGATGACATCAACATTGCGGCCCGAAGAGCATTTCCCAGCTTCACATAGATTCATAACCCATCATGAGAAGACATTGAACAACTAAAGGACGGGTTGAAGAGACCCCGTGATTTCCCCAACGCAGCACGCCATGATAAATGTCACCGCAAATATGTAGATAGGAAAAACCGCGCTTTGGGGGAATCAAACAGAGAGAGGGAGTATTTTATTTTTTTGTAATTTACTCGACCTTGCTCTCGAAGTTCTCGCCGGCAACGAGATCGGGAATATCATCCTCCTCAGCGTCCTTCTCGTTCTTCTGCATGTTCTGGTAGCTCTCGGCAAGCTTGCGGAGGGAAGCAAGGGAGTCGGGGCCGAGCTGGTTAAGGATACCGGGGACGAGCTCAGTGAGCTCCTTGTCCTCACCGTTGCCGTAGATGGCAAAAGTGTTGGCGGGGACAGCGGCGTGAACTGTGGTACAAAAAACACAACTTGTTAGCAGACAAGCCCCCAAGCAACGTTTGAAGCTTAGCTGTCGCAATATATCAAGAGGCCGCCTGACTAAGTAGGCCATAACACTCTTGCATATAGAACGAGTTTTGACCAAGCCCAGTCAAGGGGGGTCCATATCGCGAAATTGAAACTGGGCGTATTGGTACGTACCCTTAGGGGCGGCGAAGTGGATGACGTTGCCGTCGCTCTTGAACATGTTCACCTCCTCGATGGCCTGGATGGGCTGAACATTGACCTTCTTGAGGGTGGCCTGGAGCTTCTTGTCATCGCCAGCGGAGCGGGCAGGCGCTCTCTTGACCTTTCTGCGGGGAGTACCCTTGCCTCTATTTCATTTCGAAAAAAAAGTCCATTGTCAGAAATCAAAAGCCTCTCATTTTGTCTGCATCTGCAACGTTGCTCATCGCCTTTCGCTGGGCTCGCGGGGGGAGGTTTTTTTGTGTGGGAGACAATCGAGGGCGCGCGCGAAAGAATGGAGGGGTAATTCGGTGCTGGCTCTTTTTTTTGTGCGTGTTGTGTGCGAGAGCGATTGACGAGTGATATTCAAATTTCTACATACCCTAAAGCGGAGGGAAAACCACCTTTGTTAGCCTGTCGAACAGAACCTCATCCTACAGAGCGAAAACATGGGCGACAACATACCGATACGGGCCGAGGCGCCCAGCTTCTTCAAACGCTCCTGAACATCCGACATTTTTGCTGGCGGTTTGTTTGGTGATGAGAGGATGTGAGATTGATCTGTTGTGGGGAAAAAGCGAAAGGTGCGGGAGATCTCGGTGAACCTTAGAGCTCAGGGTTAGTTTGGCGCTGGGACCTCATCAAGGACCTGTGGGCGGCAGTGTGGGCTCTGGGCTTGCGGGCTGGGGGGTTCATGTTGCTGGCTGAGAAGAGGGTGATGTGTGAGCGTTTCGCGGCGGTGCTGGATGGGCAGTTGGCCCGTGCATGCTTAAAATCTTGTCCTTCAAGAAACTTTCCACTTACCTACACCCCCGCCGCCATGTTGAGCTTATATGGCATGGTTCGAAATGGTTAAGTAAACAACCCTACTACAGTCACCGGGAGTTTCCTTTGATCTATATAGTGTTGATATCGAGCCTCATCTTCATCTGCGTTTGGAAGTCGTGGAATGAGTCTTGTATGCCGAGCCTCGTATGTTCAGCTAGAGGAACCACATCAAAATTCTACCCCACCTGCTTTGGTGCTCACCTTGACTTGTTTCCTGTTCACCGCGAAAGCAAGCTCGCCTCACCTTGGGACTTGACATCATCGTCTGTTATGATGTCCCTCATAGGATGATATCTGCCAACGTGGTTGTACATGGGACAGTTCGCTTCACTATAGTTTAGGTTAGATGACGGTCCTATACCCTCCATTCTTTTCATCGAAGCAGCAAGCAGTCTTTCCAGAGAACATCGTGATACTGCACAACTTCGCGACCATGGGACTTGGAACCAAAAGCTGATCATCCCCGTCCTAAAAACCCAAGACCCTTTTGAACGCCTTCTCTTTCAATACCCATCTCAGAATACACAGTAGTTTTGTACAGAATCATGATGTTACAACCCAACCCGCCTACGTATGACCACTTCCCAACGTAAGCTAGCCCAACCACTACTTCTCAAGCGGAAGACCGGCCTCACGCCTCATAGCCTCTTTCCTAGCCTTCACCTCATCCGCCAATGCCAGACTCTTCTGCACCGACGCCCGCTGCTGTCTCTCCCTTTCCTCAGCCTCAGCCTGAACCGTCCAGACTAGGAAAGTCAAAAGTTAGCAAGCTACTTATCTCACTTATTTCATCTTCATCTTGCTTTGCCCATTCCCATCTCTCTCTCTCTTCCTATCCACATCCGCATCCAAATCCCCACCTCTATCCATCTCCATCTTCCATCTCCATCCCAACGAAAAACTCCAACAGAATTGCCAACAAACGGACAAAAGGGACAGAGGGGAAGAAAGCTTACTTGGCTTATCAGACTTGGAGTACTCCTTCAACTTGGTAACAAAGTCATCAAACTCCTGCTGACGCTCGAACCGCCTCTCCAGACTCCTCTTCTGCAGCTCCGGGTTGTACTTTTGGAAGAGCTCCTCGTCTGTCGGGGTGAGCCAGTAGGTGAATGCAGGACCGCCGACGCAGATTGCTGCTCCACTGTTTGTTTGGGGTAACAAGGAGTTTGTTAGATCTCTCTTCTTGGAATTTGGACTTGTGAGATGTAAGAGGAGGTAGGGATGGAAGAGAAAAAAAATCTTACCCGAGCAACATCTTGGTCCAGAGCCACCAGTTGACTGGCTTTTTGGCGGCCATTCTTGCGGTGATCTTTTTTGAGTGCTTGAGGTGCTTTGATGCCAAGACCTGAGACAACAGCAGCTTCTCTTGCTGCTAATAAGTGAGGAGGGAGAGTTTGCTATAAGATTTAGGTGTAGTGAGATCCGCGCAGATACCACACTTGGTTGATCTTGTCAGTTTGCTGTGTATGTATGCATTCATGTGAAGGTTTGGTAGGTACAGTTATCAAAGTGACGTCGTCAATGACAGTAGAACTCGGGTCTGAGCTCTCAAAGCTTAGGTCAATCAGTTGCTGAATTGCAGAGAGGCAGGCAGGGGGAAACCAACCGGGAGGACCGACAGGCGGGGAGATGCGGCAGAATGCATACCGACAGCGTAGTGTGGCTGACCGAGGTGAGCGATACGGGTTCGTGTAATGCCAGTACGTGTATTTACAGGTCGCCCTGAAATTTTGGTAAGAAAAACCACACATATTGCGTTCGTTATGGTTGACATCAGCGATGGTGGTTCAGAGACCTACTTGCACTTTGTTTTCATGAATCTCAAAGGTTTAACCAAAGATGTCATCCGCTGAAACAATCTAACCATGATAGTAATGATCTCATTCCATTCCAATATCAACCGTCTTCCAGTCTTTCTATTTACAAAGCACACCATTCCCCAAGCTTTATCTTTCTTTTTCTCTCTCTCTACTCCCCCAAAACCCCATAACTCTTGACCCGACTGAAGAAGAACGGCTTATCATGCTTCAGTGTAAACTCGCCCCAATCATCCGTCATCCTATCATAGTTATAAAACCCCCTCCAAACAAGCTTGTTGTTCTTGGCTCCCATCTTGCCCGCCGACTTCAGCGTCAGATCCAAGCGATATATGTACTTGCCCACGCCCTCCGTCTCAACAATCAAATCGCCTTCGATCTCATTCAAAGGAGCAGCCGGGTTATCCGCCGCCGAGGCCAGACGCCAGCGGCCCTTGAGGGCGTACTGCATCGGCGCGCTAGGGAGGTGTGTAAGCGCGGTGTTGTTAGCGGCCTGCCTCTTACCGGCATGCAGCGTCATGGCCTCGCGGGTGAGGTGGTAGACAACGTCGGCGGGCTCGGCGGTGGTGAGCAGGCTGATGACGGTGCCGTCACGGAAGAAGCGCAGGTAGCGGTAGTAGGTGACGATGTGCACGGGGCTACCCCAGGTGGTGGCGTTAGCATTGGCCTGGCCGGTGCGGATGTAGTTCACGGTGCTGATGTAGCAGCCATTGAAGCGGATGCGGGGACGGAGACGCCACATGCGTAGCCAACTGGAGTTGTAGACGGTCTTGTAGAAGACCAGGGTGGTGGCTCGCGATTCTTCTGCGTGCTTTTCGGCTCGTTGTGCGGGGGTCAAGGGGAGTAGCAGGGAAACGTCCGGGGTCTCTGCGGTTTTTTCATCATCATCTTCATCCGCAGCGCCCTTGTCGAGCTCCGCGGCCTTTTCTGCTCGGGCTTTCTCCTGTGCTTGCATTTGCTCCTCGAATTCGGTGAGAAGGTCTTCCTCCGTCAGCGGTTCCCAAGTGATTTGCCGCTGCCAGTGATAATGCATGCTACCAAACCCGAACTCGTCACCCAAGCAGATGCGTCGCCAAATTCGATCTTCGGTGGCGACCAAAAAAGCGAACCTCTTGCAAACTTGCGCAAGACGGACAAAGTCAGCAACGTCTAGGATTGCCACGTCACGCATGATGTGAACCAGAAGCTCTTCGGGAAGAGAGGCAATGGGACACGGAGGCGGTGGCATCCCTTCTACAGGAGGACCTTCCGGCTCGATCGCTAACCCTGCGAAGCTGTTGATCAGCTCCTTCATGGTCTGCGGCTGTTCCGCTGATGATGGCGCGGTGGCAGCACTCTCTGCACCGCCAGCAGTACCAGGAGAAGCCGTCGCAGGCGGCTTCGCCTTTGACTTGGGAAAGTACTTGTTCTTGTATTTCTGATCCACGCTATCGTCCATCTATGAACATCCCTGAGTCAGCCAATCAATGGACATCGATAAAAAGGCAGAATTTCGTAAAATTCGTGAGTTTCAAGACATACCCTAAACGCCTTCCTATAAAGCTTCAGACTATCACCCAAGCTGCCCGCAGCCTCTCTCTCCACAGCTTTCTCATAATGATCAAGCGCCGTGACCGGATCCTTTGTGGTCTTCTTTACCGTCCATTCCCCTTGTGTCGATGTGGACGCGGCTGCAGCTTCATCGTTCGGTGCATCAAAAGACCTCGGCTGAACATAGTCGTCTTCGTAGTCCTGACGTGGTGCAGCAGCCTTTTTGGCCGGTGCTGGTGGAGGTTTCCGGGGGTGAAGATGGTGTTCTGCCGCAAGCTCCGCTGCAGATGGTGTTGGTTGTTGTTGTTGTGGTGTTGGTGGCGGTGGTGGTGCTGGTGGTTGCTGTTGAGAAGAAGAAGATGAAGCTTGTGTTGTTGGCAGTCTAGCCCGAACCTCTGCTCTCCATTGCTCACGGAAAGACTCAAGGTCAGGATTGGCTTCTCCGGACGTATCCATCTTGCTTTTGGAGGGGGATTGGTGGTAAAGAACGACTAGACAGGCAACAAAGTGAAGTAAGAAAAAGGGAACTAAAGTCGAGAATTATTCAGCAGCATATATTATGTAAGAGGGCAAGGCCAAAAGAAGGTACTTCAGTTTGTCCTTCTTGTTTGGAATGTGATAGAGGTAGTCGAACTCAGGATGTCGGTGGATGTCCGTCCTCTTAGTCTATGTGAAAAGATGTATCACGAAATGTTTTCCGTGCTTCATAACAAATAATTAATGACTATACAGCTACCTTTATGTACGGTGAGATGGAGGAAGTGACGGGGTTGGATGGAAGTGGTTGTGTCATTCGGTGAGTTAGTTCTTAGGTTGTCGTTGATTCGGCAGCCCGAGATAAGATAAGCACTTGATAGCGGCGTCGGGTGTCAGATCGGGAACAAAGCCGCGGTACTTGGCTTGTGCGCAGATCATCCAGCACGTCACGGCAGTTGCGAGGTCGGAGCTCCCTTTCCAAACTCATTTATGAGTTGTGAAATGCGAGATACGTTTCAGGACTCAATGGAATTATAGAATATCGACTTCAGCAGTAATCATCGGGAAGGAATCTCATCCGGACCTTTTCGCAGATCGTACTCCCTGAATGAAGCAGTGGATTGATTCGGTTCATACTCGCCTGGAACTGGTGTGGCACTAAAACCGCTCAGTTACTTAAAAGGCCACAGAAAGACCAAATTGCTGTCTACTTCATGCCTGATGCTGTATATGCTCAAAGGACATATCGGCGCTGAAAGACCTCGTATACAGTAAATAGATGCCATAACCTTTAAAATATTTTGTGTATCCCTCACTCGCTTTGTACGTAATGACGTTTATTCATATTCCCTCCCTCAAACCCAAGTGTAACCATAACACCTATTCCGCTGCTCCGTGTAACGCTTTTAAGACAAACCCCTATCCCTTTGTAATGCAGCATGCCGAAACGCAGACATATCGGCCAGAAATGATGATTCGGATAGAATTCTCATGTCCACTCCATGGGTCCGGTTTCAAAAAACAATCAGAATAACGAATCACTTGGGCCATTTCTTCAAGAACTAAACTCATAAATTTTCGACTGCTTATCGATTAATCATGAAACAACCATTCCAGCCGGGCCTAGTGGTGATGATGGCCATCCCCGTCATGAGAATGGGTGCTCTCCGGCCTCGACACGCCCGGCACGACACAGCAGCCCCGGCCCGAGCAATCCTCCACGCAGGCAAGCAAGCACTTCCCATCCGCCTTGCCGCATCCAGGAAGCGAAGACGACGAGTCGTCCGGGCGGGGCGAAGTCGCGGCCTCCTCGGTGTGGTTGTGTGTCGTGTCGAGGCAAAACTCGGGCTGGATCGTAGCGCTGTGGATTCCATATTCGTGCAGACACTGCCGGACCTGCCTGGAGAGCTCCATCCACTTGTCACCGCCGGCCGCGGAAATTGGGAAGTCCACCTGGATGTGCAGCGAGGCAACGAGGCTCGTGTCGTCAAGCTGCCAGACGTGGACGTGGTGGCAACTGACTACACCCTCCAGATCTTGGATATCTTCCCGTATTTGCTTGAGGTCGATGTGCTCGGGCGTCGCCTGGAGCAGGATCTTGGAAGCCGCAAGAGTGAGTGGGATGGCTGAGCGGAGGATGATGACGGTGATGAAGAGCGAGACGGCAGGGTCAGCATAGAAGCGCCCCGGCCAGTTAGTGAGCCAGATAATCAGGGCCGTGGCTATGACACCGACGTTACCCAACGCATCTCCAATGACGTGAAGAACCATTGCATTCATGCCCATATCAGCATGGCTGTGTCCGTGTCCGCCCTTGCTTGCCTTCTTCGGCTTGGTGTGGTTGTGCTCGCGATGAACGTTCGAGTTCCGTCGTCCCTTCTTTGACGAAAATGAGTGTGCGCCATAATGTTGGTGATTGTGTCCATTCGATCCTCCAATCAACGGGGTGTTTTCGGTGTTGGTGTTATCATGTCCGCCGTTTTCGTTGTCAGAGCTATTCTCACTGCTGGACTCCTCCTCCTCCGGCTGGGACCTGCTCGCCTCAATGATCTCTTGCCTGAAGCTAGCTGGATAAATTTGCATGTCTTCGATGCTCGTGAAGCGAGCGTGTCTGGCGTTGCTCGACTTCCGGGTTCTACCCGTCTGGTGATTATGCGCATCGCTCGCTACCCCCGCGCGTCCTTCCTCGGCGACCGCGCTGTGCTCATATCCATGGTCGTGCTCGTGGGCGTCCGCATGGTCATGCCCATGTTCGTCGTGGCCGTGGTCGTGTCCGCCAGGCCCATGGGAGTGGCCGTGTCCGCCGAGAACGACGAAGCCAACGAGGTTCGAGGCAAGGCCAAGTGACCCAACAATCAGAATCAGTTTCGGGTTGTCGATCGTGGGAGGGTTGATGAATCGGCCGAGGGCTTCAAGAACGATGGACACGCAAAGCGCAATCAGGAATACCGCGTTGAAGAAGGCACCGAGAATTTCCGCGCGTAACCACTAAGACAGTCACACCCGGTTAGCGAAAGAATATGGGATCGGGAATCACACCGGATCGCAAGACTTACACCGTAGGAGAACTGATCTGTTGTCGCCCGCTTGGTCAAAGAAAGGGCCCACAATCCGACAAGTAGGGAAATGATATCGTTTAACTACATAGGATATGGTGTTAGTCACCGAGTCTTGTTTAAAACACAAACCGTAACAAAAGGGTTCGGTGAGTCCCAATGTATCCCGGCGTATGCGACGTACCATGTGAAATGAATCCGCCAAGAGTGCAAGTGATCCGACAGCGAGACCGACGGACAGTTCCAGGAGGAAGAACATGACATCGATCGCCAGCATCACTTGGATGCGCGTCGTCTTTGACCACGCCATCTTGGCGACGTTGTGGTGGTTGAAGAAGGGCGCCTGATCAGTTACTCAAATTTCCAGGTGGAGTGGACTGGACTTTCTGTGTCGCGATCGGGAGAGAAGATTCGAAAGGGGCGAGAAGAAAAAAAAAAGGAATGTTGAGATTTGTTTGCTGTGGTGGTCCTTGGCAAATCGGGGGTACCGAAAGGGATGGAGTTCAGTTTGGTTTTAAATGGGGAGATGGACGCTGCGCTGTGCGTTGAATGAAAGCCGGATATTGTTGCTTTGTGAGTGATAGAGGTAGGAATTCGCCGCTCCTTCGTTTCGTTGCGTGTTTAATCGGTCGCGCTATCACGTCAGCTGTTGCCAGGACGTGCCAGGGGCAGTACAGGGGCTCCCGGTCGCAACAAATGACCTGGGAAAAAAAGGGTTTCCCCAATTCTTACAAATATTTCCTGACCCAATACGCTAGGTACGTATTTGTTGGATGAAATAATGCGCGCGACGACACAAATGAGAATGAGCTCTGCGAGTGAAGAGCAAGCGGGAAAACAACAGGAATTTATCAACCTCGCCACAGTGATTAGCTAAATAGTTCATTCACAAAAGGTGTGCACACCAGAAGCACATGAAAGGTTTAGTAAACTTCCACTTGCATCGATTACAAAGAATCGCCATCGACAAAGCCGGACCCTCAAGACCTCCTCAGTAGGTATCCATTCATACACAGGAGTACAACTCATCATGCTTCCCGCCGCGGCGTCTGGATTGGAGAACGCACTAGATCCAGACGATCAAATGGAGGCTCCTTCCACATTTCCATTGGGATTCGCCAGTGCAAAAAAAAAAAAAAAAAAAAAAAAAAAAACTCATCAAGGTGAAGCAAATGCGCTTTCTGCCAGGTCACACATTGCATGCGTTACCAGCCCAGATTAGAAGGGAAGATTAAAAAAAAAATTGTTTAGATCTCGCACTCTTCTTCCCTTACCTACCTCTACCCTGCCGGCGTAGATCGAGGTCCCCGAATGGCTCCCGGCTGAGAGTCAACAAAGAACCTTGGCCACGAGGGCCGAACCCGATCCGCAACGCCGAATAAAACTCGCATTCACAGTGACATTAGCCGGCCGAAGCCTCCCACCGGTCCGCCGGAAGTAACAGTTCAAGGTTTTAATTTGCAACGGAACATGAGCCAGGTAAGGTATGGTCACATGCTATGTATGTAAGTTGCGAGGTTGTTTTGTCCATTCATCATCCGAGAGTCAGACGAGTTGCCAACAACATCGAACTACAACTGTCCAACGTTACCGTTCGACGACGATTCCAAGCTATGCTCTCGCCATCTCATTCATTCACTTTAACGTCAGTATACGCTCATCTCAAGGTTCATTCAGTGAGAACATAGCGAGGATAGTCAAGATATCACTGCAGGACAAAAACACCATGGGAGCTTTAGTTTGGGAAAGAAAACGAATCGCTATCCAACATATATATATCGCTGGCACACGAGGGCTATGTCTCCTAACGCTAACAAAGATAAACGGACAGAAACTGGAATAATACGTGAAATCGATCGAGCATAAGAACCACCTCCCAAACCCCTTCCACCACTCACTCATCCGTCTCGTCCATCTGTTTACCTAGGATCTCCTCCGCAGTGGCTCATCCATTTTTTGGATCTTGCTCCTGTTCGGGCTCGGCAGGCGTCCCCCTCTCTTCGGTATCCCTCTCAGAGTCAAGCTGCGGGCTTTGGTCGGCCGACGAGCTTGTTGGTGGTGATTCCGGAACAGGTTCTAGTAGCGTTGGGCGATAAAAGTTATAGACCGGCTTTTGCACCAACTCACGGTGATCAGCAGGAACAAATATACCCATGTACGACCGACTGTAGTGGGTGGTATGATGGTAGAAATAGGCGATATCTGTGCGAGGAATGCCGCGGACCAGCGGGACAATGGGTTGAAAGCTATCTTTCAAAGAAACGGGAGGAGGGAGAGTATCATCCACAAAGTACCAGTCCTTTGGAGGGTTGGGTAGCTTTCTTTTCCGGTCGTGGACCATGTACCGCAGATTGTCATCCATCCGATATCTGTAAGGTCGGTTCTGACGCGGAACATGGCCTCTGCTACCACGGTAGAAGAAGCATCGGCCTGGTGTCATCTCCCAAGGCTGACGGTCATCGGGAATGACAATGTGCTTCGTTCTCGGCAAATCGTGAGAGGGAATCAACACACCTTCGCGAGGTCGATAAGGGTCCGGAACAAAGGTCCAGCTATTCCAAGTCTCGGGCTTTTCGCCTACACAGATAAGGTCAAAGGGAGTCGGAGGAAGCATCACGGGCGTACAAAAGACTTCATTGTTGGGGTCGTTCGGAGATACATGCCCCAACGGGAGGAGAGTGCCTGTATTGTCCGCGCGACCCTGCCTGACAAAAAACTGATAGGCAACGTTACGGGAAGGGACACCTTTTTGACTGTGAACACGAAACCTCTTGGCGTGGTAGTGTGATTCCACCGGAAGAGCGAGACCCCAAGGTCCATCAGGCATTTCAGGTCCGTCCCATAGATGTGTCTTAAAGATTTTGGCGTATTGATCACGTCTCAGCCCTCTCGGATTCGGCCGTGGCCAGTCGTCGCGGAGGAGCGTGGATAACAGTGTCGGTCCCGGTTTGCCCTTCACTGACAAGTCTATGACCTGTTTAGCCACGTTATACATGTTCTGAATGCTAGTTGTCCAAGGGTTCAAGAAAAAGGGGGTGTGTTCTTCTTTGGCCTTTCGCCAGGTCGTATCGCCGAGGACGGTGGCCAATCTTTTCAGCATGGATTTCTCCTGACTTTCCGTGATCCTTTGTTCAGACTCCAAAACGAATTGACGTGTCGCGACGCCCGTCTTCCATTTGCACCTCCCACCATTCGGGAGTGCGGCTTCAAAAATGGCCAAATCTGTTTCCTCGGGACCATCGCCACCGTGCCCCTCCACTCCCAAGTAGGTACGCAGCGTGTGAAACGTGCGCCAGGAGTTTATTTTATCCTCTGGACTAGAATCGTCATCTGACGATGCTACCACAGTAAGCTCGCGAGACAATCTAGATGCACTGCTGGAGTTGACGTCTGCCGTAGCTTGAACTTGCACGCCACGCCAACGAGTCGGTGGGTCAAAGTCGGGCATCAGTATCACTCGCAAGGGAAAGTGTTTTGAGTCATCGTCATCCCCCACGTCGTTCTGTCCGACGCTGGTTTTGCCTTTCCCGGTCACGTCTGCTGCAGCATCTTCCTCCGCGAGATTCTGGGGCATATCAAAAGCGAGGTCAGGATCCTGCCACCTGGAACCGTCCTCCCACTCAGTTCCTGAATTTTCCGGAAGTCTCAGATCCAATAGTGCGTCGATTAGGTCGACTCGTGAATAGTATGCGTTCATCGGCTCGTGGATACCCATATCGATCCTCATCACTCTGGGCTCGGCTTCGGTTTCGTCAATCGGCAGCCAAAAGGTCACGCTCAGACCGCCATGCCACTTTAGATGCATCCCAATCTTTTGCAGAACCAACACTGCCCTCTGGTAATGAGCCGATGTTTTGCGAAAATGGGAGGTGGTTTCTTGCTGCACGGGGAGGAGGGTCCAACCATGCCATTTCTCCAGCTTGCCGTTGTTGAAGATACCTTGGGTCTGGTGCAACTAGCCTTTGGAACTCAAGGTATTCGTAGTGATGACGAATTCCGTTGCGCTCTTGCGTTCGTCCTCGAGAATGTAGTCTTCCAGCTGCTTCTTCGACCCGATGCGCACATAGACTGAATCCGACCCTTCCGTACGGTCTGTCAACATGACCGGATAGTTTCCCGAATCTTCGATGTAGCCAGCAGTCTGCATGATTGCGTGTTGGGAGTTGGTCTCCTTTCCGAGAAAGACCCAGGGATGGTGCCAAATCCCAAGGTCCCTCAACATGCGATACATTGCTAGCTTGTCGACAATGGAGTGAATCGACGTCAGCCTGGGAGTATGGACACATATACCGCGCCGCCTGAGTTCCCTGATACGAGCTGCGAAGACTGCCATGGTATCGTGTTGTGGTATGATGTAGTGAATATCATGTTTGTGGCAGATTTCCACAACCGCATCGTACCACGACACGTAATTTTCGTATCCCGAAACCGGCTTGAGAAAGTGCATCTTGTCCACGGGGTATGCGAGCCTTTTCCGCTCCGTCGGCGGGACATTTGGGGGAAAATAGCCGGGTGGATAGAGGGCGTGAATTCGATAGTGCCCCTTTTTGTTGAGGATGGTAGCAATTTGACGGCCTGTGGGTGTGGCGCCATCGGTGATCAAAATGGACCCTGATCGAAATCTCAAATGCTTCTTGTGTCTGTTCTCATTTGCTTTGCGTTGAAGTTCGACATACTTGCCGTGGAATGGTAGCTTGGTCCAAGGGTTGTTTATCGCGCCATCTGGACCGGATGAACTGGACCAACGATCCATTCTTTCGAGGAAAACTTGGATCGGCAAAACGATATAGTGGTATTTGTAAGTTTGAGGTACTAGAAATGCTGGCGTTGAGATTGGGCGACGTTGCCTGGAGGATGGAAACTCGGCGAGAACTCAAACGATACTAGGATGTTCAGGTTGCAGAAGACAAATTCCAGGTATCACATTTCTGATCTGGTATTTCTGCTTTGTGTGCAGTATTGGCTTCGGGCTTGGTCGAGTGATTGCGTGATGTAGACGGAGCATTTCATGCTAGAGGGAAAGAAGCAACAAGTTATGATTGCCCCGTCTCCAATTCCTCGGTTGACATCGTTCTGAAGGTAAGTGCTGAGCTCACACATCCGTCCGAGATCATCTGGATATCACCCCCTTGAGGTCACGCAGAGAAGCCACACAACAGCTTCCTGATTGCGCACTTTGAGAAAATGCAGAGCAGAGGGACTCCCCTAACCCCGTTCATCAGATCATTGACATCCCCCAAAGAGTGAAATGGGACCGACGATGGTGCCAGCTACCTATTTATATGACTTCCACATGTACGAGTATTTTTCTTTGACAGGATAGTTGAATGCCTTTCTCACATTTCTCTTCCTGTATCTTCCATCTACGAACCATCCGCTCCTTCACTCTCAAAGCTTCCTCGTTTACCACCACCCTCTGTTTCCTGAGCTGTTTCCCATGAACAAGCAGAGTGTCCCACATCTTCGCCATGACCATAAGTAACCAAGCAAGAAAAATCCAACAAAGCCCCCTCGCGCACTCGCAGTTTTGAGTGATATTAGTGCACTTTAATCACAAACTATTGTTCCCTGTGGTCATTCGGAGTCCTCTCCAAGCCCCAAAACCAAAGAATTTGGCGAGTTACGTACTTCTAGGAGTCTCAGGTTCGCAAAGTAGCAAGGGAACATATGCCCAGCCCGTAAAAGGGTAGCAACGATAGCAACTCTAGGGGGCACTCCCGTCCAGGCCGGGTTGACCAACAGCAAACTCCGAGTCGGACGTACTGCCGATAACGGAGGAAGGAACTCGAGAGAAGAAGCCGAACTGCGGCAAAACACTGGCTACCTAGGAAGGAAAGACCTAACAGGAGATACTGGAAGCGGCAATTGAATGGCAAGAGAAGGCGCAGACGACAACTGCGACTGACCCTTCCAGTCCTCCCCGTTTCTTTGTCACTGTTATTTATGGGGAGAAAACAATGACTTTCCAAGAGGAGATTCGTGCCTAACAAGTTGCATTAAGTTTTCGATTCCCTGTGGTCCATTTATGATGACACCTTCGGGTTCCTGCCACTCATCTTCTGGATGTCGAGAACGGAGTTCACCTAGAGGTAAGTGAGTAGTACCTCTACCTCTTGACCCTCATTTGCTAAGTACCGCATGATTTGCTTGTCTCCGAAGGTACTGTGTTCAGAGTTACTCTCCCCAGAGGCGAGTGCTTCAGGACCAAGATCGTTCGATTCTTCGTAACCGGGCAGCAATTAATGAGACCTTGCCTCATTATTTCCTGACTGGAGAGAAAGAGCTTCCATACAATCCCAGTTTGCCCTAGCACATGCAAGTGCAATCTTCAACACGATCACTCACGGGCTTTAAGGCTAACCGGGCAGTTCTTCCATCTTGGTCCGAAGCGGAATCGCAACGACCAGCAACCTCCGTTGCCCTGTATGAATCTTATCTAAAGGTACCTACTTCTAGACCTCCTATCTTGGCTTTTTTTTTTTTTTTTTTTTTTTTTTTTTTTTTTTTTTCGAATCATGTCCCGCCCTGACCTTTTATTCTTTCCTTTCCAGCCACACACGTATCTGCCCATGATCGAGCTACCTCTACCTACCTACTTCAGCCCCGTCACTCTGTACCTCCTGCCGTGATCGCTATATCGAGCTGCAGTAGACGTCCGTAGCTGCACGTATGGATGGAGCGCCTACCGACCATTCCGCCATCTGCTCGTTCCAGGCTCCGCGATTTTAAACATTGAAATCCAATCGGGGTCGGGATGGTCATAGCCTCAGCATTTTTCTTGCTCGTAGCCTGGACCCCGGTATCATAGTCCAAAGGCAAAGACAAGAGGTATCATGCCACACAGAACAAGATAACACACTGGAAATATATGCGGCGCATAAATGACACTACTAGTTACGTTAGTCACCATTCCATGTAAATAATAGCTTAGGGTATTAGTATCGAAAGATCAAGCACGAACAGAAATCGTCAATGGATGTGGCAAGACTAACACACTTGTTGAGCTTCGTGACCGCGTGTCAACTTCCGCCCGATAGCCCGCGAGCCCTTCACAGTCAATATTTTTGACGGTGCCGTCGTAATAGGACCTTGAGCGAGATAAAACCCGCGCTCGTCATCCATTGCTCGCCGGCTCCGTGTCGACCGCCGCTCCAAGGGGGAGGGGGAGGGTCCCGGATCGTGTTAACCAAGCAGTGAGCTGTTCAAACCAAGCCCAGCTCGCATCCCAGACTGGATATTGCGAACAGCACCTTCCCCCAATCCGATAGAGCCGCACCTAGCGCGCTGATGCTTTAGGTGGTAAAGATAATCTACGGCCCACTGTTTCCATCATCACACTTGGCTGCTCACAATGCGTTGGAGTCGAGACGAGACAGTATTATTTTCCACCGGCTGCGGACATGCCGAACCTCCGTGGCCCATGGAAAGATATCCACCCCTTTCGTGCAAGGAGGTAAGATACCTAAAGTAAATGAATGGCCAAACATATGAGAGCTGTAGCGACGGGAACAGCCAGCTAGCCAAGCAGAGCAGAGCAAGAAAGCTCGGCAATAGACCATTCAACAACACTATTCCAACACTTCCCTGGCCTCCCCAAAATGCATCCAGTGGCGTGTGTCACTGCAGTCCAGCAAGCTGGAGAAGACCAACAGGAAATGGTGGTCCTAAGAAACACACGAAATGGGCAGCTGAGTGAGGTAGGTATGAAAAAGAGGAAGGGGTCATTACCACATGTAGGTAAGCACGATCCTACCTTGAAGCCCCAAGGCCTTACATTTCCCTCCTGATTCATTTCCTTCGTTGGGTTTTAATTCTCCCTCATTGTTCACCTTGTCCGTATCTGGTGTAGTGGGCGCACAAATCGGCTCAGTATATGTGCCCAAAACCCTCAAAGAATGGTGTGTGAATCCAGACACAATGGGAATGGCAAGCGATTTCGGAAGTAACGGCTTGATTCGCTTGAAGATAGATCGGAGACCTGGCTGATTTGAGTGACATGCAGCATATTGTTGCCGCAAGATGTTGACCGGCGGAATGAATGCTTAGGCGACCGGCGTGAAGTCACCTTACCAGGTGATACGCAGTTCGCTCTCTGCAGGTGTTGCTCGGCCGGTTGATCGGGTTGTTTGGACAAATCGCAACATGCAGGTAGCATCCTATAGTGTTTATATGGAAAACCCAGGTGGCAGCGATAGACGATGACAATGGTTGGACATGGCAACAGGTAGACGAGAAATGTCACCGTATCCTGAACCAATGAGGCCGGCATACCTCACGTATCTTGAGCAAGTCGAAGCGAATTTCCTGCATAGCCATAACAAAAATTACACCGGAGGAGGAAGAAGAGGCCTAGGCATGCTGGGGACCAAGGAGCTGAACTTCTAATATCCAGACTAAACATGGCTCAGATTCGAAAGAGTCAGCCCGTCGGCGGAGTTGGCACACCTTGGGTTCATCTCACTAGGTTGGACTGTACAGGTTAAGGGAAATGCGACAGAAGAGAATGACACTGCCGGGGTGTGATGTCGAAATGCTAGGTGCGTAGCACAGGAACGCAGTCAAATGCAACAGCGGCTTGACTGAGCGGGCCGCTGTGTTGTTCTGGCTTCTTGTAGACAGACTGCAACAGGTGAGATGCAGACGGTAACACATGGAGTGAGGGAATAGACGGAAAAAAGAAACGAGCTGGAGATACCAACAACAGGAGCTTACGCTATAGGGGGTGTGTTGATTGGAGGTGTCTAGGAGGTTTGGTATCACAGGTATCAATGCATAAGGTATAAGATGGAGAGAGCGTTACCACTGGACAGCATGGCGTGGGGAAGCAGCCTACAAGGCCGGGTTGGTTAGGTGTAGGGCGTATGGGGTCCGCAGCCGTGCACGCGGGTGAGAGGGTGTGGCCTCTTCCGTACCCAAGGCCGGTGTGTATGCGAGCACACCGTATTCTGCGGTCCCATCCCCGATACTCCCTGGTTTAGTCTTTCACCTGGCGCTCACCTCTCCATCCCGCTCATCCGCCGATCTGGGTTTCGTGCGGGACAGAGGTAGAGTGCCGACGAGAGAACCACCCAACAGGGGCAGAGAAGCCACAGAGGTGTTCATAAGTTGGACCGGTCCATTTAGTCGAGATGATATGCACATGCAGCTTGCAGCATATGATACGTCGGGTGCGGATGAGGAACTTTTGGAACTCGGAATGGGACACAGAAAGATAGCGGATGGACTTCTCTGATGTAGCCACCGAGGTCTGCTTCCTTCCAGGTAAGGCAACCCGTACCTCACAGGTCCACAGCCGTGCATTGGACGCTTATCGTGGTGGGATTTGACGCGTGCAGACCGGCGCCGGATTGGTGGTGGGTGGCTGAAATCTGTAACGCTCAAGTTATACCGAGCCGTCCAGACGTCGCTCACAGACATGGTGGTTTCTGTTTATTGGCATGAAGACCAAGACACGTTGTTATGGCCTGCTCTGTGCGAGTCCACGGACGGTAGCAGATGACGTTGTAGTAGACGTCGTGGGCGGGTACAGGCCAGTGAGGACAAGACGATATAAACATAGCAGGAGCCGGCCTGGGCTGTTACCCAAGGGAGGTGCTTGCAGATGGTACGAAGCACAAGAGCGTGGAGTTGACTGGCGGCTGGTGTAGAGAGAAACCTCCAACAGCGTGTGGACTGTTGGCCAAGTGTAACCATTGCGACCGAGACGGATCGGGAGCCCAGTTTTCGGAGAGGCGTGCCGGTGAAGGTCTGGAGAAGGCCATTCTCGAAGCTTACAGGTCATCTTGGATATGTAGTTAAAGCTCCCCGAGAACGGGATCGAGTTTCAGTACTGTGTAACCGTGGTATATGGTAGACGCAGATGCTCAGGCGCCATGAATCCAGACCGGGAGTCCAGGACCGCAGAGGCCGACTTTGGCCAGACGTTCGAATGTTCTGAGCCTGGCATCGAGACGAGCTGTTGCTTTGCCATGTCCTATCGGATGTAGCGTAATCATGAGGCTGGCGGCATCATTCCGTGAGTCTTGACCATTGGCTCTATCCGGCATCGACTATCAACTGCAGAGCGGCAGCAGAAGGGAACCTCAGAATGTAGAGAAAATCCATGAGTGGTGAGGTGAGCCTTGGCATCCTGAGTATACCTTAAGCAGGCCCAGCAACATGGACAGCACCGCGAACTGGATGGGAACCGAACTCGGAGCTTCTCAGGCATCTAGCCTCCTCTGCCTCGTAGTGGCTGGCGTGTCCCGTCTAGTGGAAAGTACGGATATCCGGCGGCGCGGGGAAGGTGTGAGAATCATCATGATCTTATGCAATGCGCCAGTCGTGGGCGATGCTTCGTTCCCGTTGGGTGTTGTGTTGGCGTTGGCCCGGCGTCAGATCAGATAGGAGGTAGAGTTGAGTTGTAGTGAGAAGGACAGTGACAGCGCCAACGGAGATGTTGTTGGATGAGGTGCAGTGCTTTCTCGATGCTGTCTGGTCCTGAAGCCGGCCAGGGCAGGTGCACGGACCCTACTTGACTGTCAGGAAGGAACAACATCGCAATAAGCTGTTCCGGTGAAATGACAGTCGTCTTGATGCCTTGTTCCACGTTCACTACGACCGGCTGGTTTGAAGTTGAACAAGGTAAAGTCAACAATAAGGTAGATGTAGGACGGTGATTCGCAAGTCTTGTCAGCGTCGGATCGATCTAAATGTCAGTGGCCAGAGCAGGCAATTTTGCGTTGCATGGTGTGGTTTTGTCACCTGTAGCAATGCCGGTGACTGCCCTAGTCTACACCTACACCTTCCAGTTCCTGGGCTAGTTGAGGTGCCTTGCCTCAGTCTCAAGCTTGACTTTGCTAGCAGTAATTATACTTCAGAGGTAGGTGCATCCGTGGAGGATTAATGTCCCTCGAGGTACGCTCGCTCTTCAGATGAAGGGCTTGATGTGATAGGTTGTTTGGAGCTCCCCGTGCTTGTATCGAAGCACGTACCGGGTATGAAGAGGGAAGATGCAGATAGGCAGGTACTTTGCCCAGCATTGATAGACAGCATATTTTTGAGTATATGCCTAACTTGGCCAGTACATAATACGAAGTCACATAACCAGAACGCACACTTGCGTCGAAAATATTTCGACCCCCGAATCGGCCCCTCAACGACTGGAGCGGGACGGGAGCTCACCCAATCCAGGTGGGGTCTGGAAGCTATCTGCTCATGCCGTTAAACGGCTCCATCTGGCTAGTCTTCAGACGGCGTTCTTGATGTCTTCCCATTGCAATTGAAGACGCAATGGAAGGCCATTGTTCAATCTACGTGTCTGACCTATCTGGGCTTCCTTTTGATAACACCTCGACACCCATTTAAACCCGAGCCGACGCAGCATCGCCATGTTCTAGCGAGATCTGAAGATACCGACGTCAAGCCTCCGTTCGACGTTGTCTCCATTTTCTGTCAACATCTCTCACTCCGCTGAGCAGGAGCAAGGTACGTCTCATAGCTCTTTACCTCTCAGTCTCAGTCAAATTGTTCACCTCATTCTCTCATGATGCTTTGTTCCAGTTTGTTGCAGTAGTTCGAGTGATCTTTCAATTTGAAACAGACATCAACATCAACACGATCATCAGCATCGCATTAGCTTCAATACTACTGTGTCTGTCAAGCCCCATTGCTGATGCTTCTCAGGAAGGGAGAAAGGAAACATCATTGACTGCCGTGCAACATTCCGCTGGCTTGTTAATTGTTGCGTCCTTTAATCCACTGATGGCTTCTACTGCTCCAGATTCCTAGCTAGGTTGTTTCCCCTTTCCTCCGTCCTTCTTCTTGTTCGTATTTGTTGGCTCCTGGCGAACAGTTCCTAAATTTCTCTCGTATTTTCCTCAATTTCTTACCAGTACAGACCCGAACGCGGTTCAAATCTTGATATATCTAGGGTTCTTCTAGTCAACCCTGTCTAAGCTTTACTATCATTGCAAACCCTCATTTTCTGGACGGTCTCTTAGTTGCTTTGGTTTCTTCAGCGTGCCCCAAAACCCTCACCTCCATCCATTAACACGACCCTGGACAGTAAACGTACCCCTTTTGCTACATACCCCAACCCGCTTCTGTACCTTATCGAGACTGGCCTTATCCCATTACAGTCAACGCGGCCAACGTAACGTTCGTCTCTCGCCTTTTGTCAACAAGAGCTCCGTCGTAGCGTTACCGGCCGTTCGGCTATACGGTCCTGCTGGCCTGCTACCTACCTTGGCTCAACCGCTGTCCTCTAGTGGGAATCGAAAACTTACAACCTCGCTCGTACATTGGCCATACTTTTCTTCCAAATATCTCACCTTCTTCTCTCACCGGGGCCTTCGCCTTTCAAGCTGAGTGCCGCCGAAGGCTAAGTGCCCAGGAGATCCAGATCAGCAGATTGATACTTTGCCTCATAGACTCGGCACATTGACTTCCTGCAAAGTGCCATAGTCTCTGTGATTGGAATAACCGCTCATCATAAACATCGCACATTCACAGCCGATTAGTTACAATTTCCTTGACCAGGACGCACCTTAGACTGGATCCCGGCTTTGGTAAGAGATTGGCAAACCCTTCTCTACGAGCGATCATCCTTTGTGTTGAGGTTCAGGGGCAAAATCATCGGCCAGACTGGTGGCTGCATCATCATTTCACCAAAGTTCAAAAGAAAAGAAAAGAATCTGAACAAGAACGGCAAAATGACTACACCAACGGCTTCTGGCAATCCAACGACGGAAACGGTGCATACGATATCCTCTCCGCTTGATGCGCCTCTTGAGGGTGACGTGCATCACCCAGGTCTGGGAGAGCAAGAATCGCAAGCGGAGCAGTCGCAACAGCCGAATGGAGGGCAACAAGAGAAACAAATGCACCGGGAGCAGCATGAGGAACATACCGAAGAACAGCAGCAAGGTCAGGAACGACACGAGGAACAGCACCAGGAGCATCACCAGGAACAACGCCCGGATCAAGTTCATGAACAACATCAGGAACGGCAGCCCGAGTATACCGGTCCAGCGGTCTTGCATGTTCCTACTGCTACCATCGGGATTGTCGAGAGCCATGGTCACTCGCCGCGGGCGAGAAAGGACACCAACTCCTCCATATCGACCATTACATCTGCCGCCACAGCTGCTACATCCTGTAGCATCGGGTCCTCCCCCTCCCTCACTCCGACAAGCGCTCTGCCAACGCAAAACATTTTTTCTCTCAAGGACGGGAACGCTCCTTTGTCTTCGAGTCGAAACAGACGGCGGACTGGCCCCTTGGCGCCCGAGGCAAGGGGAAAGGCCGCTCTGATCCGAAAACAAGGTTCATGTGCGAACTGCAAAAGGAAGAAAATCGGAGTGAGTGCAAAACTTGGAAGCCGTCCAGGCCAGTTCACTTACTGGGCTTTTCCTTATAGTGCGATGCCCGACATCACGGCATGACTTGGGAAGAACTCGCGCAAAAATTTCCCAACTCTGCAGAGATGCAGCAGCTTGAAGCCATTGTGCCGCCGACCCCTAATTTTCATACACAAGAATCAAGAAAGCACAATCTGAGCACCCCTTCGCCAGAATTCATGGATATCGATTCCTCTCCAACTCAACAACAGATCCGTTCATCGTTTAGCGAGTCGCGTGTTAGAACACCTCTGCCTTCCAAGCCTCGTCAGGATCGGGCATCAACTGTGTCGTTCCCTCAGCCCAATGGTGGTCTTTCCAACGGCAACGTTCTGATGTCGAATTCGCATGGGGCTACAGTTCGAGCTTCCGAAGGCTTTGCTAGGGATCGCTACAGAAGAATTTCTGCCTTGTTTCTTCGCTGGCAGGATGACGAAGACCCTGCATTGAAAAACCCGATGGATGAGTTCAGAGAGGTGCTTGGAGAGTACTACGACTGCTCATGCCAAACCAAGATTATTCCATCCGCGAATCAAAACCACAACGTTTCCATGTGGGTTTTGGATGAAATTCTTCAGTTTCTAAAGACTGATACAGAGGACGAGTTGAAAATGCTCTATTGGTCAAGTCACAGCTACTTGGACGCCGATCGACAAATGATTCTGGCAAGGTATGACCTACCCGCCTCCCACGGAATTACACCACATCACCGAAATGCGGATTGTTGTTTCTCCAGGCTGACCGTATTGCCACGTTGATAGCTCGAGAAGCAGCGAGGCGCAACCAGCGTCGTGCGTACGATGGTCTGCCATCCAGGCTCTGCTCGATCATGCTTCACCAGATGTAGTAGTCATCATGGACGCAGCCTACTACCCGAACCAATACAGATTCATGAGGAGGACCAACCGTTCATTGGAGCTTCTCGCTGCATCTACCCAGGCAAACCCGGAGAGAGGTGTTTTTACCCGTGCTTTGAGCGACCAGCTGAGGATCCGAGCTCACCTGAAGCTTTTGGGGGGCATCTCGATCGCTGATCTTCATGCTAGAGTGACAACATCCCCTCTCCTGACCATGGGGGCTAGAGTCCAGGAACTGCTCGGCTCAGGCGTGGGAGGAATGTCATTGTCGCCGCCGCTTAGTAGCTGCCCTCCTGTTCCCTTGTATCTGCAATTTGCGGGCAGTCCTAGGACATCAAGCATCATCCTGACACCGAAGATAAACCGAGAGTTGGCGGTGATGGCTGGAGATGACGAAGCTAGTGGAAGAAAAGGAGGAACAGGAGGACTTGTTTACACGTTCCGCGTGCCCGCGGGTGCAAATCAGGACATTTGGGAGGAGTATCTCTCGACGTTGCCCGACGACATCAAGGGGAGACAGGAGTTCGTGGGGGCAGGCTAGGTGAAAGTCTGACGATTTTGGACCAGAAACGGGGGCTCTCAAGAAAAAAAGGGGAAGGAGATGACACTCTGGTCAGTTGTACAAGAACCGCAAGACTACAATCAGGCAATTATCCCGAGACGTTTCCTGTTTCCTCCCAGTGCGCTTTTGTTGTTGTGACGTCCCAGAGATGTTGCCTGGGCGTGGATGTAGGTGGTCTGACTGACGACTGTGGCCATCGAAGAAGGTTACTCCCACCTGCTCTCGGTGGAAGAATTGCAAGCACCCTATTGTGGGCTGAGCGCGAAAATCAATGAGTCGTTGCGAAGATAGGTATACCGCCCTCTATCGCATACCCCAAATACCGTGTGAACACTTGGGTAAGATCAGGCTTAGAAAAAAAAAAAAAAAAAAAAAAAGAGTCAAGGCGGAACTCGTGAAGTTGATGACGAGGGCCTAGTTATCCAAAGCGCCGGCACTCGCCCAAAATCATCAGTGCAAAAAACAACAGAACAGAACACAACTCCCATCCGGGTTCGAGTCCACCAGCTCTCTCCAGTCCCTCACTTGACGCGGCCTCTAGTAACCCTCCCACCTCCAAAGGAAGTACGACCAAAAGACACAAAAGAAAAGGCTACAAACAACCGCTCGATCGAGTTCAACCATGGAAACGAACGCCTCCAACCTTTCCTTGTATTTCTTTTTCCCCCCTCCAAGATATGCGATTACCTTCTTCTGTCGCTGCAAAAGTTAAACAGACCAAACCGGAGGAGGCGGTCTACGATGTGGAACGCACGCTCTTTGGGTTACTTGAACGTAAGAGCATCACCGTTCCCGAACCGACAGGTAACTTCTTCGATGGTTTGGTTTGGGTGATTCTAGTAGTGTAGACGGTAAACCGTTACGCAACTCGACCAAGTGGTTTATTGGTGAAAGGAGCGGCCAAAGAGGTCATCTATATACCCGGTGGGCACTCTGGTTTGGGATGAGATGGAAAGGAAGGAAGGAAGGAAGGAAGGAAGGAAGGAAGGAAGGAAGGAAGGAAGGAAGGAAGGAAGGAAGGAAGGAAGGAAGGAAGGAAGGAAAGAGCGGCGAGCCAAGACAGGTGTGGGCAGCTGTGCTGGAGCCTTCAGTTTCTTGTGGCACTGAGCATCATAACTACCTAAAGAGGCTCATTCGACCGTTCGTTGCCTAGGTAGTCGAAGAAGTGAGTGGGCAGTCTATCGGCATCAGCACAGTTGATACCTCGATAACCTCCCTCAGAACAAACAACCTCAAGGTCCTTCCAACCCTACTACCAGCGAAGCAACAGGAGGATCGATCCATTATCGAAAAAAGACAGAACATAAGGATGGAGCAATTGATTGCTAAACGTAAATGCCAAAGCATACTATCAATAGAGCATGCACGTAGTGTGGTATATCCATCATCCAATATCCCCGCCCCGTCGTTCCATGATCCATGATTCTTCATCCATCATGACATTAACACCACTCATTCCTTTCCCTCTTCATTCCCGGCGATCTCCAGTCCAGTCTCAACTTAATCAGACTGGAACATCATCATGTCTTCCCTTCCCCTACTACAACAACAAGGTAGCCGCCACAACTCCCACCACAACCGACGACCAGACATTCACCATCTTTCCAATAGCAACAGCACCCGAGTCCAGGGCATGCGCATCCGCAATCTTGAACTCAGGCATGTAAACCCCCGTATCTTTGGAGTTCACTGTGCCATTCCAGCAATACCTCTCAAAGCAAGTCTTGCACGCGGCGGGCGTCTGCCTGCCCAACCGATCCAAGCTCCTGCTAATAACCGCGCAGGCGACGCAAGTAGGCCACTCCGAATCCAGCGTGCCGTTCCCCTGCGTGGCTGAGTTCCATCCGTTGCCGATGATGTCGTTGCGCTGAGACATGGTGTATGACGGATCGAAGGTGGACACGTTGCTCAGCGCGGTATAGGGCGCGTTGGGGACATAGACGATCAAGGGGGGAACCTTTTGGTTGGCGTTCAAGGTAAAGTTCTTAACATCGCAGCCGAAGAAGGAGGGGCGGTTGTTGAAGCCTAGGTTGATAAAAGTCCAGTCGTCGGGGATCGAGGGGAAGAGTGTCCCGTTGGAGATGGAGCCGAAAGTGCGCTCGTAGGTGGCGCGCAGGGCGGTGCCATTGGGCCAGTTTGTCACGTCGGCGGACGAGTCGACAGCGAAGATGACGTCCACGGCGCGCACGGGTTGGGTGAGCGGGTTGAGCGGGATATTCTGCAGATCTTCGCCGCCGTCGACCAGGTCGAGCTCGAGCGTGTCGGCGTTGGGGTTGGTCCGGTTGTTCCAGTCCAGGAACGGATTAGGGATGATTTGGGAGACGTCGTCCCTCTTCGCGCCGATTTCCTTGAGGACAGAAGTCACGGCCTCGATGAGCACGTCGGGCACACCGTCGTAGCTGGAAATGTTGGCCAAAAGGAACTGGTTGAAGAGCGTGCTGCTGGTGCCCATGACGAAGCCGGCTTGGTCAAGACCCTCAACGCACTTGCCTCCCGATGGGATCACGCCGTTGCTGAAGTTGGCGCCGAGGTACTTGGTCGGCGCAAAGCCATAGACGGTCGGGTCCCAGCTACCCGTCTCGAACGGGTTGAACTCGTAGTTGGTAGCATTGAGGGAGATGATGGTGTCTCCAGGCGCGCGGCCGTCAGCTACTAGAATAGGAAACGGCGTTTCGGCCTTCTGGAAGTTGTCGGTCTGGGCAATGCTGGAGAAGGTGTAAGCCGGGCCGCCCATATCGGCTCCGATCAGTTGGTAACTCAATGCTCGGCCCCAGTAGTCTGTTATACTTGTCTCGAAGCCAGCATCCTTCTTCTTGGCAACTTCCTTTGCCACTTCGGACCAGTACTGGATACGGTTGACAGTACTAAGGCCAGCCTCCTTGGGTCCTTTAAAGATGGAGTTCTCAAAGTCCCAGACTTTGTTCTCGCTCAGCAGGGTCTCAATGCTGCTGAAGTTGTTGGAGAACAAACTGCCGACAAGCCAGCCACCACCAGAAAGTCCGGCCCTAGAGTTGCGTTAGCAATTTACGGTCACGGTCCTCGATTTCTTGATTTGAAGAAACGAAGAAGGGGCGTAGAGTCCAAGACATGTTCGCCAGCAAGGTCGTCCACAGCCGCCCAACTTGGAACTGGCGCAGTTGACACTCGAAAACGAGATAAGAAGAACCACTTTACATACAAATATGTGCTGGACTGCAACAAGCCTCCAATACCACCTGCGCCCGTGGTATTTTGAATCCGGTTATCCGCAGCAGCAACGAAGCCGGCGCCGTTCATGAGGGCACGATAGCCGCCTCCTGAAATGGCAATGGCGACATTGGGCAGTTGCGAGATGTTGTTGGCGGCCTCATTCATGAAAGTCTCGGAATCGAACCCAGTGATGTTGGCCCTCTTCAGTAGGTCCCTCATGGGCTGGATAGTGTTCTTCCTCCGGATCGACAACCAGTCCTTCTCCTCGTTCGACAAATCCACGGCCTTCCGGAGCGTCGGCTTGGTCTTGGGACAGTCTACAACGGCAGGGGCATATCCACCGCTGGGCGAATTCGGTAGTGCTCGAACGGCAAGTTGCTGTGATGTTGATACCACGGAGACATCGCGTTGGGGTATCCTAATGGGTTCGGCCGATACATTGGCGAGCAAGGGAGCTGCGATGAGCAGCGACGATGGGAGATGCATAATTGATGATTTGCCTCTTCTTTCTCAGGATATCAGTACAGCGTATATCGTTACTAGTAAACCGTAGAAACTGTTCCGTTCGTCTGCCGTTTCAAGAAAGGGTAGTTTAATGAAATCCAAATAATAACATCAAGAGAAGGTAAGTGGCTAGTGGTCAAGAGCTAAACAGTCGCACCCAAGCCGCCTGGAAGAGCCGGAATTGTTCTGTTTTTGGTCCTCGACCGAACCAAGAAAGGGGATAATGAACGGAAGGTAGTTGTAGAAAGAACGACAGCGGCCAGGGGGAAGCAAGAACGGATATAAAAAGTCAGTCGCCCAAGAAAAAGAGAGTGAAGATCAACACGAGTACCCAGACCAAGTGTTGGTTGCGCCAAGTGGGAAGAAAGAAGGATGACAAGGGCAAGAATTGGGATCCAATGCGGATGGATTCGCTCACTCGGTGCCGCGGCGGTGCTAAGTTCCTGCCATGGATTGGGGGATTGCACAGACGGTGGAGTGCTTGCTAGAGCTAGGTACCCAGTTGCGCACCAAACGGTGCCCCTGTGCCCCTGCGTCTAGGTGTGTCCTGTGAGCAACTGCGCCCGCGCGCGGCACCGGGAAGCTGCGGGAACCTCAGTGGATGATTGGCGCCAGATCCCCGGCATCACCTCAGCACATGGGCAGAGAAGGAATCGAAGGGTAGAAGATATTCCAGGGTTTCCGCTCGCACAACTTCCAAGCGCCTCTACCGCTACCCGACTCCACACACCCACGCTGGCAGAGCAGAGCCACTGAGGCCTAGCGGTCACAGCTCCCCGTAACCACGCAGCTAGCAGCCCAGCGACCGAGGTCATCATGACACTATGACGACAATCTGGAGACTTGGGAAAATCGATGACGGGCACCTACCTCTACCTTGGGAACGATAGAGCAAGTCCAGTCAACGCCCTAGGGAAGGGGAAAAAAAGAGAAAGGAGAAAAAAAAAAAACAAGAGCCCGCCGCATGTTTGCTGAATGGTGGTGTACATACCAGATCGAACAATATCGACGCCAGGAAGCTTGGGAAATTTGGATATCCATCAGCTAGCTCCCACTGCACCTCAGCCGCTGGGCATCCTCACGAGGAGCAACACTGTGGTGCATTCATAGTACATTACAAGCAAAGTCGGGATGTTGCTAGAATCCGTCGGCTACGTCGGTAGATACCTCCCATACACAGTAGGTAGGTATCCATTTTATGGTTCCGCGTATTTCTTCGTCGACGGGGCACAGCAAAGCCAAACAGCCGCAGTGCCTCGCAACCAACACCAAGCAATAATCTCATCCATCCATACAGATCCTCCCATAGGTAATATCTTTACATGCGCACCTGCGCTGTGTTAGCAGTTTTAGGTTCCACTACCAAGGCTGACACGAGCAACACTGACAGCAAACTGCTACTTGGGGTCCAGAGATTGGCAGTTTGCTGAGCACCTATCAGTCAGTACCTTCCTTGTCATGTTTGCTTGCTTCCACGTCCCTATCCTCGCGCTATCCTATTCTTGACTTTTTGTTTCTCAACGCAAAGGCCATTCAGGTTTCTCATGTTCAACCTTTGAATGGCGATGCCGTTCGTCCCAGGACCTCATGACCTTGAAGAGACGAGAAATATATCCCAAAGCAACTTCTGCTTACGGACAAGCAACTGCATGACGGCCTACAACTCATATCTCGCGTAATCATCCAACGCTAGACCCGAGTACTCTACCTACTGTTCTCGAGACACCTACCATATATGTACCCAATCGG